ATGTCCATGGAAGTTTGGGAAACATATCTTCCAATCAAATTTGCTTTACCAGTGCGTCAAATCATTGCTGATTCAATAACAATTAGCAAATACGTAAGATCAATAAGGATCACGTCGCGGTCTGTCATATAGTAATCTTTAATGAACTAACTATATGACTTAGGAAGTGATTGAAGAACCAATTCAACAGCCAACTTCCTTGACACAACGACTCCTAACTTCCCAGCCTGTCAATGTGTGACTTCATCTCCAAGACATGTGCACACACAGACCTTCCATCTACATGTTTGCTTGCCAATAGAGCTTGAGTGACCTTGAACTTTTCAAGTCAACGAACATGTGGGTCAGGGAGAATTATTGGAGGAGGTGGAGGAAGTGAAGTATGATATTGTGGAATATCATCTTCATGTGGAAAGCTTTTTCCAACAGGACAAGGCATACCATAGTTGTCTGACCTAGACATCTATAAGGTGAGAAATTCAAGTTAGTTGATTTTAGTCCTTAATATAACACCCAAAATGAAGTATTAAGGCTAGGACCCAACACAATATTCTACAATTCGGAAGAGGGGTGTCGTAATCTAATTGTAAAATATTTGAAGGTAGGTAAATGACGATTTACCAATTTCCACCATGAAAAACGAAAAAGAGCATTAGGTTTTAAATGAATTGAAATTCCTAGATTCTTTGAGATTCATTGAACTTTTCAATGGCATTTTTAATCTCGATTATGCCCTTCAAGTTTGTGACTGGGATGCCGAGGATCACAAATAAGGTGTGAATAACCATGCAAATTAGTTTGGTACTCTCGAAGTCATTTATCACCTAATCAATGTGCCGGTTAACCACACACGCTCCATTGATCTATGACAAACTACGAGCTACCTATTGCCATCCTTCATTAGTCCCATATTAGTGTGCCGGTTAACCGCATACGCTCCACTAACGACTAATAAGGTGCAATGTGCAATTTCATGGGTTAGCATCAAATTCACATTTTTCCTAAGTAACTAAGATTGGCGATTTATAAGACGTTTAGTTACTTTATATTTCATTATACTTTTAATTAGAATTTAAATGTCCTATCAAACCCGTTCGGCTAACGACCCTCCACTAGTCAAGAGTGCGGTAGGTAAGAGTGGGTACCCATTCAATCGCCATTTTATAGGCAATTTCCTTAAACACCCCTTATAGACCAGCTTCGTGAATGAGGCCTACTAACGGTAAGACTGACTTTTAACTTATACATATATAATATATTAAATTTTTAATTGTATATAGTATAAGGGTGTATTTTACACATTTAAAATACTTGGTGATTTATTCTATTAATAAATTAAAATTTTAATTTAATTAAACTTAAACCATATCATTATGGAATTATTAATTCTCTTTTACGTAAACACTTTAATCAATTTAATAAAGTCCATAAGGTGTAATTGAACTATTCAAAAAACATCAAGGTTCTAAATATAAAAATTCAAAATTAAAAACTATTTAATTAATTTTTAAATTATGAACCCAAGAGTTGCACCTTTTGAAACCTTTCAATTACTAGATGTTTTAGAATTCAATATTTCAAATTAAAACTTTTTAATTAAACTTTTCAAATTCCAAAACTTGAGGGCAGGTTTTGGCACTTTTCAAAACTTTTGGATTCCATAACTTATAGAGTTAATGTTTAGTGAATGAGACTTTCCAAGTTCCATAACTTGAGGACAAGTTATGAAACTCTTCAAGACATTTGCAATTCCATAACTTAAAAGAGTTTAAAGTTTTATGAATGAGACTTTTCATATTTCATAACTTGAGTATAAGTTATCAATCTCTTCATGAAACACTTAGATCAAAATATAAACTAATACAATTATCATATAACTTATCATTTACCAATTTGACCTAATTTAACTCTTATTGCAAGACAATTCTAATTAAACAATACAAATAATCAAATTATCATATAATCAAAACATTATCTTAAAATTTGATAATTGTCTTTTTTAATTTTGGATAATGGAAATCATTACCTTATCACAAAAACAATTTTTTTTAATAGTCAAAACAGTTTGTGGTAATGATTCTAATCTGAAATGTAACAGTCATCAAATTTAGATCAAAGGTGGTCGGTCAATTCGTGTGACGCTACTAGAACCAAACCGAATGTCTCGTCATGGTGTATTTAACGTGTTTAAAAGATATTATAACGATTAATCGATTATAAGCATGTTAATAATAAATTATGTGAAATGTAGCAATGTGTGCGTGAAATCAACGTAATAGGAACATCGTGTGTGTGTGTATATATATATATATATATATATATATATATATATATATATATATATATATATATATATATATGATAAAATTCGTTACATTAACTCCATAAATACGCAATGGTTTTATATATTGACTAGGTGGAAATTCTAAGGACTAATTATATATCAACAATTAACGGACGAATGTATACAAATACGTATGGCGAAATAGAATCGATCTTAAAAGGGGCATAAACCTATACAAACGATTTTATGAAAAGGCCATATATGGAATTCAAGTAATGATATTAAATATATATAATAAATTTGGGTCACATATAAGTGTAACATAGGAACGTTCTTTTCTACACCAAAGTATTATACTTATAAGAATATCAACAGATACATAGGTATGATCCTTCAAAACAATTATACATGTAAAAATTTTGTGTATGTATTATGACATCTAGGAGCCTTCGTACTAACCACATGCTGAAATTTATATGAATCTATCAAAGTACAAGAATGTGCAATGCCTACTTCCTTCCATTTCTAAATTTCTTTACTCCTACATCATTTAACTTACACTTATAATATGTCCCACCAACTTGTGCATGTGTGAGGAGCCATAGTACCACCTGAATCCACAAGCAAATTCGATTTGTACATAATGACATCAGCTATGTCCCACCCCCCATTCACACGTACCCTATCTCTCATCCAAGTATACACTTAGTTCACATCCAGGAACTTCAATTGTGAGAGTTATAGAACTATTAAAGTGGTCCCACCAAACCTCTCAAATTGATCACTTTAGTACAACTATATCATGTAAACATCGGAAGAGTGATAACCACTAAAGTTGCATCCAACCATTCAAAACTCCACCTCACCTGTCATCCCTCCTCTCGCAATCTTCCTTAAAGATATACACACACAAATTATGCACATGTGCATATCTTCCATATATCTCATTGTAAAATCTGATATCTTGCATGATTCACAGCTATACAATGAGATTTAGAGAAGCTTCACCAGTTATTTAACTTATCACTGAACTCATTCAAGTTTTTCACTCACTCCTCCCTTCATCTTCCCAAACTCCCCCACTCTCATGTTCTCTCTGATCATAAATAGGCCCTGTAGGCACAGTTCGCCAGAGAAGAAGGAGCAGCGCTCACCTCCATTTTCCCTCCTGCCTTCATTTGTTCGACTCTCAAACAAATTCCCCACATCTTTTCCTTGCTCCTACATCGATCTCAGGTAACTTCCTTTCTTCTCTGATCAAAACAAGTTCAACAACCACCATGAACAGTCGGCACCTGCCATGGTGGTCGATGGTCTGAACCGTTTCCGACAGGACGATCCCGGTGGCGGGTTTGGTTCTAGTCAAGTGTGTATAGTTCCTGATTCCATTATTTTTCTTCCATGTGATGTTTAGGTCGACTCCAAGATTCCCGTTCCAGATCCCGCTTAGAATAGTGTGTAGTATGCACACACTCTAAAATGCTGAATAAGAACAATAAATGAAAATGGAACCAATTACTTATGGGATATAACAGAAATAGTAATGAATCGTTACTATATAGTCATACAAGATTGAATAACCATGTGTTTATACTTAAATCAAGATACCAAACTTGTGCATGTATATATCGGATATTAAAGAAACAGAGTGAAAGTTATTAATCTACTTAAGTCCTGCTAAGGTCGTAAAACCTAATACAAATATACATTTACATACACCAAGTTGTCAAATTCTGGTTTGAAAAGAATAAAGGTTTGATTTCTCTATAATAAAGTCTTTTATAAAACTCTTATGTTATCTTAAGAATATATGGAGTCAAAACCTGTAGGACTCACCAACATCATTGTTGACGTATTTTAACATGTATTCTCAGGAAATTAAGACAAGAAATACACGCGAGGAGTGTGGAATCATCGTCTTATGTTTATGTTCTAAATTACGTTTTATGTCCTCCTTTTGAATCATTGAAGATTTGTCATGAAACATGTAACAAAGTAAGATATAATCTTGTCGTATGTGATGTAAAACTTTAAGTGGTTGTTTAATGTTTAATATATGCTATGTTTCTGATATTCGATTTTCGTCACTCGCCCGGCGATTCCGCCGTCGGCTGGGGGTGTCACAGATTGGTATCAGAGCATTAGCTATAGCGAACTAGTATTTCACTTAAGATTTACAACTATATCCTAGGGCAAGACTTCTCTGATAAGGAGTTAATTCACTAAACCTGTAGATACACGAGTATTATAATAATTAAAATGAGAATAATTATCTAAAACAACCAATAAAAGGAACTTAAAAATCTAAAATTTTATATCAAAAACTTAGCTTAAGTTTTATGGTATATATGTCATGCCATAACTAAACCTAGCTTACGCACCTAGGTTTTATTATGGACCTGTCAAATACACCATTTAACTTAAGCATAGTGGTTGATAACTTAAAATTTTAGAGATTTACGTAACATAAGAAAAAATATGGGTGTCGGCAACAAATTACATGAATAAATAAATAAATATTAACAACCCTATTTTAATTGTATAGATGAATACCTGGAGAAACAAGAAAGGAATCCCATGCTCACCCCCCCCCCCCCCCCCCCATCTGGTCGGGGATCCCTACTACCCCGAGTAAGAAACAAGATATCAACTCATTGCGTTAGGAAACTCTACAGAGGATGATGAACCAATGGAAGACTCGTTAGAAGAAGAGTAAATGGAAGAAGAGAAATCTGACGCAGAAGAAGATAATGAAACCAAAAAAGAAAGTGAACCCATGGAAGCCGAAGCAGCCCCTACCTCCAGGCCTTCACCTCCAAGTCCTTACAGGGGTATTCTAAAGAGGGTCGGGAAAACCTGTCAGACCGCTAGAAAAACCACTCTTAACCACAAGGGAATTCAGAAGCACGGTTATGCGCTATCTGAGAGTATGAGGAAGAACTTAAGAAGTCCATCTTGGTTGAATGCGTTTGCTGAAGATAGAATTTCGGGTGGGAGAATCACCACCCGATACGAAGACGGGTAGAGCTCAGGAGTGCGTCCTGCGCCCGATGATTATGTTGGATCTTTGAGCGTATTGTTTGATCGAACCTTGAAACTGGAGAAGAAAGCTAGGGTATCGGCAAGGGAAATAAAGGAAGGAGAGAACAACACAACTCACGTACCCTGGAGAGCTGGAAGACTAGAGACCCAGCTGACCCAACATCATAATACACTGACAGAGATGCGTGGGTTGCTCGACACGGAGATTGCTGCTAGGATACAGCAGGATACCCACATGCTTTAGGCCGATCTTCAAGCTCAAGCGACTCTTATTAGGGCAGGAGTCAATGAGGATGAAATAATGGCCATTAATGGGAGGCTGGATGCGATCGGATTGCAACTTGGGGAAATCACAAGGGCATTGGGCACTTTCTTGCAACGTGGATGAGTAGGAGGAGTCAGAAAGTGACGAGGATGGGGCATATGTAGTAGTAGAAGAACATTTTGGATTATATATTAAGTATGTAATGTTTGGTATTATCGTGGTGTTGGGAAAGTATGGTATAACAGGGTACGAAACTCCTTGCGAATTTTGGGTGTTCTGACTATTGATGTAATAGCTAGTAGAACTTTTGTTTCCCGAAAACCTTACGAAAGTTATTGTAATGATATGTGTAATACCACTATGTATGATATATTGATGCATATTACGCATACTTTCTTTGGTGTCAATTTAATGTGTAAATTTTGTAATTAGTGAATTCCACGAATAATGCAATAAGGTTTATCGAAAAGTGAAAAAGTAATATTAAAAATCTTCATATAGCACAGTACGTTCCTTATCAACCACCTTTACGCTATAGTTTTGTTTGACTCCGGGGCCGATAAGAGTTTTATAATGACGCCATTTAAAGAATTGTTAAACCATGAAACCAGAAAATTAGATGTAGCTTACGAAGTAGAAGTAGCAAATGGTCAAATAGAACGAACAACTGAAATCTTAAGAAACTGTACTCTAACGCTTAACGATCATACATTTCAAGTCGACCTCATGCCAATGTCAATCGGAAGCTTCGACATTATTATTGGCATGGATTGGCTGTCTCACCACCATGCGGAAATCATGTGTTACGAAAAATCAGTAAGGTTAACCTTACCAGATGGAGAGACTCTGACCATCTACGGTGACAAGTCGGGTCAGAACCTCAAGCTCGTGTCTTGCATAAAAGCGCGGAAATATCTGCACAAGAAGTATTACACCTTCCTAGCTCATGTAGTAGATAAGAAGTGTAAAGTGAAAGAAATTAAGGATATACCACAGGTATGCGATTATCCTGACGTTTTCCCAGAAGAACTACCAGGATTACCACCAGTCAGACATGTCGAGTTAAGAATTGACTTAATCCCCAGAGCAGCTCCAGTAGCTAGAGCACCCTATAGGCTGGCCCCGTCTGAAATGCAGGAACTCTCGAGCCAACTACAAGAACTTCTTGACAAGGGCTTCAACAGACCAAGTTTTTCTCCTTGGGGAGCGCTAGTATTATTTGTCAAGAAGAAAGATGGATCATTTCGAATGTGCATTGACTATAGAGAGCTAAACAAATTGACCATCAAGAGTAGATATCCTCTCCCTATAATCGATGATTTGTTTGATCAACTCCAAGGGTCCAACTATTATACAAAAATTGATCTGAGGTCGGGATATCATCAGCTCAAGATATTAGACGAAGACGTACCGAAGACTGCATTCAGGTACCGTTACGGTCATTATGAGTTTCTAGTCATGCCTTTTGGGTTGACTAACGCTCCAACAGTATTCATGGATCTCATGAATCGAGTATGCAAGCCTTATTTGGACAAGTTTGTCATAGTGTTTATAGATGATATCTTGATCTATTCTCGAACTAAGGAGGAGCATAGTCAACATCTACAATTAATTTTGGAGCTGTTGAGGAAAGAGAAATTGTACGCCAAATTCTCTAAATGCGAATTTTGGATCAGACAAGTACACTTTCTAGGACATGTGGTGAGCAAAGAAAGAATTCATGTAGACACAGCAAAAATTGAGGCAGTAAAGAATTGGGAGGCACCAAAGACGCCAACGGAGGTGCGCCAATTTTTTGGCCTTGCCGGCTACTATCGAAGATTTATTGAGAACTTCTTAAAAATTGCAAAGCCACTGACCACTCTAACACAAGAAGATCGAAAGTTTGATTGGGGAGTTAAACAAGAAGCTGCATTTCAAAGACTGAAACAAATGTTGTGTAGCGCCCCGATCCTATCCCTTCCTGAAGGTACAAAGAATTTCGTAGTCTATTGTGATGCGTCGATCCAAGGATTAGGGTGTGTATAAATGCAGCGTGACAAGGTTATTGCATACGCCTCCAGACAACTCAAGACTCATGAAAATAACTACACAACCCACGACTTGGAGTTGTGTGCAGTAGTTTTTGCATTAAAGATATGGAGACATTATCTATACGGAACAAAGTGTATTATATACACGGATCGTAAGAGTCTTCAGCATATTTTTAATCAGAAAGAATTAAACATGAGACAACGGAGGTGGATTGAGTTGTTAAATGATTATGAATGTGAAATTCGGTATCATCCAAGAAAGGCCAATGTAGTCGCGGATGCATTAAGCCGTAAGGAAAATATCAAACCTCGTCGAGTGCGAGCTCTGACCACGACGATCCATTCAAGCCTTGTCAACCAGGTTTAGTTAGCTCAACTTGAAGCCCTGAAGGAAGAAAATCTTGCAGAAGAATCATTAAGAGTAATGGAAAAACAAATTTAACTAAGAAACGACGGAACCCGACATTTTATGAACATAATTTGGATACCGAAGTTTGGTGATATCTGAAGCCTGGTCATGGACGAAGCTCATAAAACAAGGTACTCTGTTCATCCGGGAACATACACGATGTACTTATATTTGAAGAAGTTGTATTGGTGGACAAACATGAAAGCCGAGATCGCCACGTATGTGAACAAGTGCTTAACATGTGCTAAAGTGAAAGCGGAACACCAGAAGCCATCAGGATTGCTCCAACAACCAGAAATTCCTGAGTGGAAGTGGGAGCAGATTGCAATGGATTTCATTACGAAACTTCCAAAGACACCTAGTGGGTACGAAACCATCTGGGTAGTGGTCGACAGATTGACGAAGTCCGCTCACTTTCTACCAATTAAGGAGACTGATAAAATGGAGAAACTGACAAGAACTTATCTCAAGGAGATTGTTAGACTTCACGGGATACCCGTCTCTATCATCTCTGACAGGGATAGTAGGTTCACTTCGAGATTTTGGCAATCATTGCAAAAATCCTTGGGGACTCGTCTAGATATCAGCACCGCTTACCATCCACAAACCGACGGTCGAAGTGAGAGAACAATCCAAACCATGGAGGATATGTTGCGGTCTTGCGTGATTGATTTCGGAAATGCTTGGGATACTCACTTACCACTCATTGAATTCTCCTACAATAACAATTATCATACCAGCATAAAGGTTGCACCAGTCGAGGCTCTGTATGGGCGAAAGTGCAGATCACCGTTGTGTTGGGCAGAAGTAGGAGATACTCAGTTAGCCAGGGAACGCGCGAGCAACACGCTTTGCACAGGTCGGAAATAATTCACGAAACCACTGAAAAGATAGTCCAAATTAAAGAAATACTTAAAGCTGCCCGTGACCGTCAGAAGAGTTATGCAGATGTAAGAAGAAAGCCACTAGAATTTCAAGTGGGAGATAGAGGCATCATCAAATCTCACCATGGAAGGGCATGATACGTTTTGGGAAGAGGGGAAAACTAAACCCACGGTATATAGGGCCATTTGAAATTCTCGATAGGGTCGGTCCGGTAACATATCGACTCAAACTACCTCAAGAGCCGAGTAACGTGCATAATGTGTTTCATGTTTCGAACCTGAAAAAGTGTATGTCCGAAGACAACCGTACAGTACCATTAGACGAAATCCAACTAAACACCAAACTTCACTTCGTCGAAGAACCCGTTGAAATTATGGACCTGGAAGTGAAACGGTTAAAGCAAAGTCGCATCCCGATCATTAAAGTTCGTTGGAACTCGAAAAGGGGATCAGAGTTTACCTGGGAGCGCGAAGACCAAATGAGACAGAAATACCCCCAATTGTTTGAGTGACATCACGACCTACAAATCAAATTTCAGGACAAAATTCCGTTAACGGGGGTAGAATGTAACAGCCATCAAATTTAGATCAAAGGTGGTCGGTCAATTCGTGTGACGCTACTAGAACCAAACCGAATTTATGTCTCGTCATGGTGTATTTAACGTGTTTAAAATATATTATAACAATTAATCGATTATAAGCATGTTAATAATAAATTATGTGAAATGTAGCAATGTATGCGTGAAATCAACGTAATAGGAACATGGTATATATATATATATATATATATATATATATATATATATATATATATATATATATGATAAAATTCGTTACATTAACTCCATAAATACGCAATAGTTTTATATATCGACTAGGTGGAAATTCTAAGGACTAATTATATATCAACAATTAACGGACGAATGTATACAAATACGTATGGTGAAATAGAATCGATCTTAAAAGGGGCATAAACCTATACAAACGATTTTATGAAAAGGCCATATATGGATTTCAAGTAATGATATTAAATATATATAATAAATTTGGGTCACATATAAGTGTAATGTAGGAACGTTCCTTTCTACACCAAAGTATTATACTTATAAGAATATCAATAGATACATAGGTATGATCCTTCAAAACAATTATACATGTAAGAATTATGTGTATGTATTATGACATCTAGGAGCCTTCGTACTAACCACATGCTGAAATTTATATGAATCTATCAAAGTACAAGAATTTACAGTGCCTACTTCCTTCCGTTTCTAAATTTCTTTACTCCTACATCATTTAACTCACACTTACAATATGTCCCACCAACTTGTGCATGTGTGAGGAGCCATAGTACCACCTGAATCCACAAGCAAATTCGATTTGTACATAATGACATCAACTATGTCCCACCCCCATTCATACGTACCCTATCTCTCATCCAAATATACACTTAGTTCACATCCAGGAACTTGAGAGTTAGAGAACTATTAAAGTGGTCCCACCAAACCTCTCAAATTGATCACTTGATCACTTTAGTACAACTATATCATGTAAAGATCGGAAGAGTGATAACCACTAAAGCTGCATCCAACCATTCAAAACTCCACCTCATCTGTCATCCCTCCTCTCGCAATCTTCCTTAAAGATATACACACACACAAATTCTCCACATGTGCATATCTTGCATATATCTCATTGTACAATCAGATATCTTGCATGATTCACAGCTGTAAAATGAGATTTAGAGAAGCTTCACCAGTTATTTAACTTATCACTGAACTCATTCAAGCTTTTCACTCACTCCTCCCTTCATCTTCCCAAACTCCCTCACTCTCGTGTTCTCTCTGATCACCAGAGAAAGAGCCCAGCAACCACCGAAGTTGTTGCCATATCCAACCCAGTCTCTTTTCTTCCTTCTATCTTCGATGGCAAACTAACCCAGATACCTCCTGATCACCACCATTTCCAGTTAAAACAACCTCCCCGATCATAAACAGGCCCTGTAGGCACAGTTCGCCAGAGAAGAAGGAGCAACGATCACCTCCATTTTCCCTCCTGCCTTCATTTGTTCGACTCTCAAACAACTTCCACTCATATTTTCCTTGCTCCTCCATCGATCTCAGGTAACTTCCTTTCTTCTCTGATCAAAACACGTTCAACAACCACCATGAACAGTCGGCACCTGCCATGGTGGTCGATGGTCTGAACCGTTTTCGACAGGACGATCCCGGTGGCGGGGTTGGTTCTAGTCAGGTGTGTATAGTTCCTGATTCCATTATTTTTCTGCCATGTGATGCTTAGGTCGACTCCAAGATTCCTGTCCAGATCCCGCTTAGAACAGGAGCTTCCCGACACTTCCGACTCTGGCAACTAACGTGAGTTCTATGACCCCTATTTCTTATTATCAATGTTTGGGGGAGAATACATGTAGTTCAGTCTTATTATCATGATAAAAATGGTTCAAAACAAGTGAATTAAAGTAAAACAACTATCACTAAGTATATATGTAATCATATACAAGAAGAATGTTGATGAACTAAGATTTCATTATATGTCACGTAAGCATGATTATAACAACTTCCTTCATAAAGGTCACTATAAATATAAGCTGTGAAATGTTACTGAGTATTAAGTTCATATAACACTACAAGAAAAATCCAAAATAGCTACAAAAACTTGCTACGGAATTGAAATCCGTAGCTATTCTATTATGGAATATGCTACAAAATGGCTTTTCGTAGCTATTTTGCTACGGAAATGGCTACGAAGTTACATTCCGTAGCTAAACTAGGAATAACTACAAAAAGTTACTACATAATCAAAATTTGTAGATTTTATACTACGGAATATGCTACAAAATAGTTGGCCGTAACTATTTTTCTACGGAAATAGCTACGGAGTTGCATTTCCGTAGCTAAATCTTGAATTGTTGCTACAAAATCAAAATTTGTAGCTATTTTACTATGAAATATACTACATGATTGTTGGTTGTAGCTAGTTTGCTACGGAACTTGTTACGTAATCCATTTTTGTAGTTAGTTGGCTACAAAATTGGTTACGGAATAAAAATACGTAGCTAGTTTGCTACACAATAGAAATTCGTAGCTACTTTGTGACAAAAATTTGCTACACAATAAAAAGTTATACCTAATCTACAACGGAACTTGTAACGGAAATGTTAACCGTTGTTATTTGTATATCTAAGTTGTTTTTGAATATGCAAAATAGTTACGTAATCTAAATCCGTAGCTATGTGGCTACGGAATATTTCGTAGTCAATTAGTTACGGAATATACTTCCGTAGTAAAATACAAAAAAATATTTTACCAAAAAAAATAAATTACTGTTTTTGATTGTGTTATGATTTTTAATTATAATTTAATTATGATTAATAAAATTCTTTACATATTATTATAAGTTTTTTTTTATTTTTTCTTATTAAACATACAATTAAAGCACACTGTCCTTTTGAACAGTGTCATTAGTAAAAAAAATGACTTTTTTTACCTGTAACCGTTGTGCTTTCTTTTACTCCCTTTCGCTGCCCCACATAAGTGGCCGCTTCATTCATTCTTCGAGAAACTTCTCCGTCTCCCACCTCCAACCTCGAATCTCAATCTGTTGATCGCGTTTCCAACAGACAACTCTCATCTGTGCTTCCATTAGGATATGGAGGGCTTCACAACAAACCCACGCACAACACCATTGATACTGCTGTTGGAATCGCCGACTATCGAGTGAAAACAAATCGTCGCAGTTGTGTTCATCGGTGTTGATTATCTCTCCTTCTATCACCTCCATGTGCCTACTACTTCGATCTTCTGACGTATCTCATGAATTTTGTGGTAAGAATCACAATTTCAGGTAATTTGTTTATCCTCTTTCATTCTTTCTATATTATGTGGTTGGTGCTTCGAAGCCCTAAATCCATCTTCTCTCTCTTATCTCCATGAAATCAAATCAATGACTTGACTTGCCGCAGGAACAAAGGGGAAGTAGAAAACACCGACTCCGTCTCTACCTTGATGAACTTCTTCATCTGAGCCCTAAATAAATTCCAACCACACTTACATTCGACTGACATAAGATTAATGAGATCATGAGAAGAATAGAGGTAATTCGAAGTTAAAGTTTTACCTTAATTGATGAAATTAACAATATTGTAAATATGATGTTCTTTGTTCGAAAATAAAAGTATTGGTTTGATTGTTTGTTCGACTGACATAAGATTAATGAAATTAACAATATTGCCATGCTGTGTCAGAAAGTATCGATATAGCATTACTTTTATTACTCTTGTGGTCATCAGTCTCTTGGTTAATAAGAGGGAAAATGTTGACAAGTTACATGTAAATGATTCAGAAAAAACATCATTACAGATTGTCAAAATTTATATCCTTAATTCACATTTTCTTAAGTTGCTAATGCGTTTGTCAAAATTTATATCTTTTTTTTAAATAATTGCAGGTTGGAGCGTTTGCAAGATAATAATGCAGTGCTTTCTCATTTTATTACAGAGCATTGTTATGCAGAGGTGTCAATTGATCTTTATACAAATACACGTCTCTTAAAGTCCATGAAATTGGACCTTGATTATATATTTCAAAAGCTGAGGTTGGTTTACAAGTTACAAAAAGTTGCAATCTTTCTAATTGTAGCATTTAACCCTAAATCAATAGTTTATTTTTCTTTCAGGAGTTTAACAGCAAATATTACAACCTTATGTTCGTATTTCTTTTTGTTTTTTCCAGTGTCATAAAATTTGATAATCTATATGGGTAGTTTATTTACTATTGATATCGTTGCTAACTTATTATGGTTACCATCTTACAGGGGTTGGGGAAAATGATTTCCGTAATTGCCCTTATTCTCAAGCAAAGTTCTCCTCTTTTTATAGCAAGCAACAGTCTTTAAACCTTAAAGAAGTCATCCACATTGTTGAAAAGGTGAGCGTTGATATATTTTTTTTTCTTTACCAATCTGGTTTAGGAATTCAATTTTTTTTCATAGTTATGAGCTTCATACTTCTTTTATTCTATTATATGCTTTAAATCAGGTTTTTTTGTGACTTTTATTTTAATTTTCCATCATATGAAAAGGTTTCAGACATCTGGCAGGAAGTTGACAAATTCAATATGTTTCAACCCATATGCATGCCTGTGGTAGTTCGATCATTGGTTCTTTTTGTTTTTTTGTTTTTTTTTTTTTTTTTTTGTCTAAAGAACTCAAGAAAATACCACAATTAATGTATGGTCTTATAAGCAGGGAAAAACACTAACTGAGAGTAAGTTCTTCTTTGAGCAGTTCATTCAAAATCTAGAATCAAGTACAATTGGTTGGTATTTGTTTTTCGCTCTTGGATAACCTCTCAATGTCGATATCAAAGTACTTTTAGTTGCTTCACTTTCTGTTCTAATTTACTTCCACATTTTCATTTTGAGTATGCAAATATACATTTATATGGTTTTATATTATTTGATTGTATCCCTGAACCATATGTTTGTATATGTGATGTTGCCTTTAAAATATGCAACAAGAATGTGAGGTGGGACAGAATTTGGAGCTGCTCCAGTTGTGCCCATACAGTAAAAGAAGCAGGATATTTGTTCTACTGGGAGTCTATAAAAATTTTAAATTGTTTCAAGGTTATGAATTATTTACTCGTTTGGCATGAATCTAACAACAAAATGTCATGTTTCGTGCAGAAAATCTTCAATTTTTTCACCTACATACCAGTGAGGACTGTTATGATAACGGGCCAGAGGAGGGGACCTGGGCATCTTCTTCAGTGGTAAACACCTCTAATCCAATTACCATGAGGATTAATGTTCTATTTATGTATAAACTGATTCCAAATTGTTGGTTGCAATGCATCTATTGAGACCATACATTACAACCATTTCTTGTGACAGCCATAATTATTAGAGATGTATGGTGGGAAAGAGTATATAGAGGATTTAAATGAGTCCAAATCAAACTTTTAATTTTTCTGAATTCATTTGCATATAGAAATAGATGGGAAGAATTAGCGTATACATAGGATTTAAATGAGTTCTTAAACTTTGAACTATTTTTTATAAATTAAAGCGGTTCACTATTTTGCTTGTTTTTAATAGAGCAGTCGGTTTAAGGGGGAAAGAAGAAACAGCTACAGACTTTTCTTTTTGTTCCAAAAGTAACAAAAAAATCAACAAATATGTGCAGGTGTTTAGGAGGTTACTTTTTTCTGTGGTGCTCAAAAGGTGATTCATTTTGTTTAGGAGGTTATTTTTTTCTGTGGTGCTCAAAAGGTGATTCATTTTGTTTCGTGTGTATATGGTTATAGTGTATCAAATAGAAGAGTTGGATTGTTTTTTTTTCTATATTTTGTTTATTTTTAGATTTTAAATCTCTAGTTGGTCAAAAACTAGAGATATAGTGAGATTTCATACAAGATATTTGAATGTTAATCAAGTTGTTTATAAATTTGATTTTGCAGGTTGTGCCATTTTTGTTGAGCATCTATGGTTGTTTGTGTATTTGTAATGAATATTCTGTTTTGATGATTAGGGAACCATGTAAAAGGATTTTCAATTATGTAATATATCTATAAAAATTTATGTAACTCTTAAAATTAAATTGATTGCATTTTATATATTTCAACGAATATTATAAATGGAAATTGGATTTTGTTGAATATTTTTATTGTTATGAATTTGTTTTGGAACCTATTTTTGCTATGGATCAAATGGCTACATAATTTGTTACGGTACAAAATGGCTACAAAATTTATTACGGAACAAATGGGTACAAAATTTGCTATGGAACAAATGGTTACGGAATTTGCTACGAAATATATGCCTACGGAATTTGTTACGGAACAAATGGCTATGGAATTTGCTACAAAACAAATGGTTACAGAATTTGCTACAAAACAAATGGCTACGGAATTTGTTACAAAATAAATGGCTACGGAATTTGCTACGCACCCCATTGTTACAGAATTGTTATGGAAGTGTGTTGTAGTTAAATGGCTACGGAGTAAATGTCGTAGCAAAACTGCTACGGAACTATATTTCAGTAGCTAAACAGTTTGCTACAAGAAATATACCTACGGAATCTCATTGACAAATTCCGTAGCAACTTCTGTAGTTATTCAGGTTTAGCTACGAAATTTTAGCTTTTAGTTACGGAATTTTTTCGTAGCTAAATCGAAATTTTCTTGTAGTTATAACTTAAATGTTCATAACAATTAAAGATTATTAAAGTATTGATATTTTATATAAGGGTATGAAGTAAACTGTTAAAAAGAGATATATAAAAGCTGTGAAATTGTAAGTTCAAGGTACCAGTGTGTAGTATGCACACACTCTAAAATGCTGAATAAGAACAATAAATGAAAACAGAACTAGTTACTTATGGGATATAACATAAATAGTAATGAATTGTTACTATATAGTCATACAAGATTCAATAACCATGTGTTTATACTTAAATCAAGATACCAAATTTGTGCATGTATATATCGGATATTAAAGAAACAGAGTGAAAGTTATTAATCTACTTAAGTCCTGCTAAGGCCGTAAAACCTAATACAAATATACATTTACATACACTAAAAGGGTAACAGATGGAATTTCCATATAAATTGTTATTATGGTTTCCTTGCACATTAAACATCATAGTATAAAATAACTACTCTGTCATCATAATATCAATGTCGAATCAAGAACAATAAATATTGAAGTTTTATAATTTTGAGTATCATGTTCTTAATTGGCAAATAACTTCACGCTTCTAGCGAATCTAGGGTGAAAATCATAGGTTCATCATACCTATTCTTCATAGGTTCATTATACCTATTCTTCATGGGTTCATCATACCCATTCTAAATGGGTTCATTATACCTATTCTAATTACCAAACCTAATCCGTTTGAGTATTCATTATAAATTTAATCCGGTTTCGCAAAGGCTAAATTCATAATATTTAGTAGAAACCTTCCGTTACATAACCGTTAATCCTCGAGGGAACGACTAACGCTAGGTATAAGTGTCAAAATATTGATCTTATACGGTACGATCGCCTGCCTGGAGTTGCTAGCTACAACTACGTCTAACGAGATGAATTTTGGCGCTGTCGTTAGCATTATCGAACATTACCCCCTGTTACAACGGGGTGAATGACTTTAGCACGCACGCCCTATTATGGTGTCGGTGCAATAATAAAGTTCAGTGTCAAGAGTTCGGTTATGACATTATCTAATATTCCTTTCGTTTTTAAATTAATAAAAACGACAACCGATAATATGACTATCATATAGTAAATTGACAAATAGAGACTCATTTACTAATAAAGTTGACATTACCTATGCAATAGTAAAATAATCCTTTCGTGTTGAAAAATTGTCAAATTGTGGTTTGAAAAGAATAAAGGTTTGATTTCTCTATAGTAAATTCTTTTATAAAACTCTTATGTTATCTTAAGAATATATGGAGTCAAAACCTGTAGGACTCCCCAACATCATTGTTGACGTATTTTAACATGTATTCTCAGGAAATTAAGGCAAGAAATACACGCGAGGAGTATGGAATCATCGTCTTATGTTTATGTTCTAAATTACGTTTTATGTCCTCTTTTTGAATCATTGAAGATTTGTCATGAAACATGTAACAAAGTAAGATATAATCATGTCGTATGTGATGTAAAACTTTAAGTGGTTGTTTAATGTTTAATATATGCTATGTTTGTGATATTCGATTTTCGTCACTCGCCCGGCGATTCCGCCGTCGGCTGGGGGTGTGACACCAAACATGGCAAAAAAAAAAAACTGAAAAAATCGTCCACTGAACAGTCACCACGTCGTGGTAACTTTGACCACGTCGTGGTGATCATGCAGATTCCAAAAAACGATATTTCTTGCTTTGGACAACTAACCAATGCATCAATATAACAGAAAACACCCATGACTCCGATACCACTGTTGGGTTTTATGTACTATAACACTCCTATGGTGCACATACAACCCTAATGCCTTGGATCTAAGTTTTATCTAATTATGCATGCAAATTCATATTATCCAAAGCATGAAGCCTATCTAACATACAAATTTGGTACATGAACCATAAAAAATTGGTTAGAAGAATACCTCTTATTTGTAGCTTGTAGTTGTTGGCCTTTCAAGAGCTTAGCACCTCAAGTGTGATGCCTCAAACAAGTCACAAACACCATAAACAAGTGGAGGACTTTGAGAGAGAGGCTAGAACCACCAAAATCGGCTAGGGTTCTCTTAAAACCCTTGGGTGGGTGAATTTGGAGCTAAGGGGTTACTTTTATAGTGTGGAATTCCTAGGGTTTCAACTTGTAAACCCTAATTCATTCCTTGGGCCTTTAATCCAATAATCCATATAATAAGCCTGATGGACTAACACTTCACGGACACTCACATAAACTTAGTCCATCACTAATCAATCATGGATCATTGGCCTAAACTATATGTATTACTGATTTACTTAATCAGTCCCCTTAATTTAATTAATAAATCTTTTGATCACTAAATTAATTCCAAATTAATCCTTGACCAATATTAATTAAATAATATGATTTCTCAATTAATATATTATACTTATAATATATTAATAAATAACAAATAACCTCTTTCTCAAATATCCATCATACCAGATTGTTCTGTTGAAGGCAACCCGAAATAGACCATGCTACTCTCGGGTCAAGTGCATACCAATTATAGTTATGGTTTAGACACCTAATCCAACAATTAGGTCTAGTACAATTCATAACATGCATGATGGATCCAACTAGCAAAGCATATGGAACATCTTTCATCTTGTCCAGCTCAGCTTTTGTGCTAGGACATTGAGATGAACCTAGTATTGTGCCATGAGCCATTGAATCATATCCTCTCTTAGAGTTCTCCATCTTGAATCGGTTCAAGACTTTATCAATGTATGTACTTTAGCTCAAACCTATTAATCATTTTGATCTATCTCTATGGATCTTTATGCCAAGAATGTATGCTGCCTCACCATGATCCTTCATTCAAAAATACTTTCCAAGCGAAGTCTTTTGTGACAACTGTAGAAATTAGGTCATCATTAAACGAAAAATGTTAGTCTAATCACTATTTTAATAGACCTAATGAGTAATAATAAAATCATTTTAATGTTTATAGGGTATTATACTTTGAAATACATCCAAAATATAATTTACGTCTTTGAATTATATAAATCCCTGATAAACAAGCAGTTTCAATATACATAAGAAATGGGTTAGTACATATGATTGAAAGAGACATGTATTAGACATCATTATGTGGTATCAATAGGTTCATCAACTAGCGTTGAAAATAGGAAAATTTGGACATAGAAATGTCGAAAACGGAGTTCGTATGCAAAAGATACGATCGTTTTAAGAAAACGAACAACCAGGTAACAGCTCACCACCTATTAGGTCTCAAAACACGAGCTTCAAATGAATTATGAGACATCTTAGAATTTTTATTCCCGATCAATTTTCCTATGAACCACATTCAGTTTAGGAACTTATCGTGTTCCTAACTTTTTCTGCCCAAAAATACCCTGACCAGTTGTGGATAAGATTGAATGGTTAATGTTCACCTTATTCACCAAGTAAAATTGGGAGGATGATCTGTAGATTCATTTCCGCATTTTGTATCGAAAAGTTAGTGATATATTACAAATCAGATTTTGATGTAGTATTTGATTTAAGAGATAACTTTTCCGTTACACGTTATATCGACTCTTTTGCGACGGCAACATTCGCAACTGTAAACATTTATTACACGAAAATAACTTCTAAACGCTTCGTTAGAATAGCTAAGCTATTTCTTAACGACTAGAGATCTAACCGTTTCGATCATGATTACGTCTAGTATCTGATTTTGTAATCGAAATTGTCGCAACTTATTATTCAGGAAACACCTGCCGCCTGTGTTGAAATCTAACAAAATATCTAGCTTTGTTGTGGGCCGTTGGATCGAAATCGACATGGACCATCAAATCAAATACTTGAAAACTATATATAAAGGGGATACCTCTCTCATTTTTTGCACCTTATCTCTCTCCCTTTCTCACCAACCCTCTCTCTCGGAACCGCCTAGCTCCGCCGTTCGGAACCACCGGTGTTGCCGATCGCTTCCGCGCTGGAAAACCGAGAAACCGCCAAAATAATTTCCGGCCAAATTTTGACCATTTTTCGATCAGATTCCGATCAAGATACTATTCCTCCGATCAATTCATTATTCACCGGCAAAACACTATTCATTGACAAATTTTCCGGTGAACTTTCTGATCAATTTTCCGGAGAAACTCTAGCAAGTTTTTCTGATAAAACACTATTCACCAGTAAACATTATTAATGTGACACAATTCATCAGATTGCGAAACTTCTATTTTTCGGATTTTTCTAATATCTCCGGTTTCTCAATTACGGTACATCCCTGTAAGTGTCACGACGCCATTTTAAAACTCTATCTCAATACCAAATACAATAGTAATACTGTAGAATCTCGAATTAAGGAATGATTATAGTAACGCATAGTACTGTAGATAATTTGCTCGGAAACTTATCCAATAAATTAAGGGTCAATATAATGATTCAATATCAAGAAATTCATGTGAGCCATTTATTCATCAAACTAAGTC